TGGCGTATTTATACAAAGCCATATAAATTTGAGCGAAACCATTCTTCGAATACTGCCCGCAAAAAACATGGCACAGACCTGAATCTTGGCGAGAGAGTTTAAATATTCATCTTGTTTTATCCCTTTGATTCTTGACTTTATTTGTTGTGAAAATTGTTTTGATGATGGTGGGACAGTGAAACCTGGGGATGGGTACAGGGCGCTTATTTCCGTCTTGAGAAACAGTAAAATGCGCTAGACAAACCTACTAATTTCAAAAGAATTAAAAAGACTGAAAAACGAGGGATTATTTTCCATGGATAGGTCCTGGCTACAACGATCAGCTATTTTGCAATCGTCACGTGATGAATGAACTGGAAATAACAGTTGAAAGACGGACACATAGACCATTGATTTTGTTTTGAGGCTTTCCTTGAGCAATTAAAAGAAGTTGAACCACAGTTGATCTCAATGTACATGTACTCCGCTGATTCAGAATAGTGGCGCTTATTTGTGTAGGGGTGCTTATGGGAACGCGAGTGCCTACTCAATAGGAGCGCTTATTAGAATAGGGGCGCTGATTAAAAAAAGTCTAATGTGAGGGGGCGTTTGTTAGAGAGGGCGCTTATTTTAAGGAAGGTACTAAGTCGAATCCTTAAGAAAGTTATGTAGCGTAGTTGATTGAAAATTGACTACGTGCTTATTCTTTTGTTTCTCTGTTTGATTGATATTTTGTTTTATGTTATGAAAGGACCATCAGGGTTACGGTTTAATTGTCCACGTCCTCACAATATAAGGATTATTATGACGTAACTTATCCTTATCTTGTACTGTGTATAAAACATAAGCATCGTTGGCAAAAATAAATTGCATCGGTGCCACGCTTCCTGCAGTCCCCTCCACAGCCCTGATTTGGTCTCGTCACGCAATCCCCTCTCTCTTACGTTGCGCGACGACACTAAACAATGATCTGCTCATAGGCTACGACGATCCTAACTGCTGTTCTTCTCCATCAGAGACAGTTTTAATTATTCAGTTACAGCTATTTGCCCCGAAAAGTACTTTCAATGTAATTTTGCTAAGGAAAGCAAACCAAAAACTCTATTTCATCTCTAACAACCACTGAACAAAGGTATATTTCGGTCTCCGTTCTTCAAACAAGTGAAAATAGATGGAATGAATTATTTGTAGAAAGACGTCTAAGCACTCGAGAATTTCGTGGAAAATTGACCAACAGAAGCATAACGTTCCTTGCGAAATTTTTTTCTTTATTAAGGTAGGATTGTCATAAAATTTACGTTGTTAACGGCATTTCATCTGAGAAAGTCTACTCCATAGTGGCGAGTACAAAAAAAAAAAAAAATTGTAGCGGGAAAGTACCCTTTATTTATCAATAATTAATTAATGAAAAACTTTAAAAAGCAAAGAAACGGATATTTCAACGTGGTTTAAACAGCGTACACCTTTTCTTTCCTCGTGAAAGAGGTTATGCACGATGCAAGTGCGTATGATACTTATCAAAGGAAGAATCCTTTTTTTGTTGTTTTTGTTTGACAGCAGCAACTAGCTTTCCTTTAATAAGAAAAGAAAAACATTGGAACATTGGGTTTAAGAAACTTGTGATAGTTGGGGATTTAAAATTTGGAAAATGCGCAGTTCAAAATTTTTGCAAGTATGACCATAAGTGATGGGGTCCATAGTTGGTCACAAAATAGACTATAATAAGGTGAGAATTCTAAGAGGCCAGCGGCACTTACCCAACAAAAAATGATTTAAGTTCTTTCTCCCCTCCTACTCCCCCTACCCCCACTCCCTCTCCCCCCGATCCCGAAATACTTTTCTAGGTAACGGAAGGCAAAGTGCAGTAGAAGAAAACAATTTGTAACACATGAAAAAGTGACATATATAGCATTGACATCTCGATTGTAGTGCACTTTTATTATTTTAGCAATAGTGACTTTCTAAAAGCGATGATAAACTATTAGTTAGCTAAATGTTTAATTGCCTCCTTCGTCGTACTCGTCAGGGATAGCTTATAGGCGCGTCACAATCACAGTCCGGTTTTTAATTCACCCCATTCAAAAGTAACAGGGGCAGTAGTCAGGCAAACACGCACAAAAAAGTTAGGTAAGGAATGAAACATAGCAAAACACCTTTGCAACGTTTTTGAGCTTACACAGAAGGTAAATAGAACTTGGTGGTGTCTTCAATCTTTGCAAATAGAGCAACCACATAGAAAAACCAAGATAATCAAATAATTTTTTATGATTTATGCATATGCTTGGCACAAGATTTACCTGAGCCGCTAGTAGTGGTCCTACCCAAATAAAAAGCGCTAGTGATCAATTCGTGTTAGGCCTTCAGCTGACAATGTGTATGTCGTAATTAAATGAGGGGTACTTGCAAAAAGGTTAAAAATTTTCCATGACGACCTTACTAATCCGGGGAGATTGTAGCAAAAAAGTCCTCATGAAAGACTTGAACTATTACACTGGGTAGATAAGCTCACAATTCTTGTTTATGTCGTTCTTGGTGTGTGTCAATGTTGGGTTGATTCAATCGCAACCTATCGTGGTTCCCTAATCTCCAGCCCTGATTGGCATCAGGGACGGCATTCGGATTGGTGCAAGCATACCCCGACGCTGTGATTTGATTGGTATGTGATATTTACCTAATGCAGCGATCTGATTTCTTTGTGATAAATGAAAAATTGGGTAACCTGATTGGTACGTAATATATATGATAATTCAGCAATATGATTGGCTTGTGATACATGAGAAATGCCGCAATCTGATTGGTGCGAGCGATATACCATTTTTTACGCTGGCGTAGAGTTATTTATTTATTCATTTTTGAATAACTCAATGATGGATTGGATTTTCTCCAGTTTAAAGGCGAAACATTTTTCACACTTACTGCAGTTAAACTTGCTTTTGCATTCGCACGAGTAGGAGCCATCTGTGTTATTGCAAATTTCTCTTTTGTGACAACGGTGGGTATTCCAGATACACTCGTCTATATCTAGAAAACACAAAGGGAAGCAATATGGACGAATAAGTTTTGACACGAAATGACTGACACAAATCTCAATAGTTTTCATGTACTGTAATACAAACCAAGACCTCAAATATCAAGCTTTTTCCAACGTCAGTTGATAACAGGGCCCCTAGGTCCTTTCAAGATAACAGTGTATAAATTTCTTCTCGTTCCGATCTTAATGCGCAATACATGCTAATTTACGAAAGATTAAATACTTCCTTGAGAGCGGAATCGAAAATTACAACGTCATCTGTAGAGTCTGTGATCATGTCCTTTCTCTACTGCTAGAGCAAAATGTCCGAATGACTTATTTGGCTTGTGATTAACGGATAGAGTAAAATTGCACCAATTAGCAAAATTGGAAAACAAAGATGAGTTGGGACAGGCGTAATACTCACTTCTCCTCCCCAGCCCCCCTCCTTATTTTTGATCGTCACTTACACCCTTAATCCAAATTGCTTTCTCACCTTAGCCTTCCACTGCCATTAAAAGCTGAGGTGGTGGCCAGTTTTCGCTACTGAGGACCCGCTGGCCAAAATTATGTTCACTTTGCAGGCTGTTTAGCCACCGGTCTATCAAAATCTAGCTTTTGAAAGGATTAAAGAACAAACTGCAACTCGGAAATGGTTTATTTCGCCGGAAACCGTCGGTTTGAAATTACGTTTATCGTACACTGTAAGACTTGGGATCACCGCAACATTGCAATGCAAGTTGTTTTTCTCTGCAATACTGCACGAAAAAGGTTAACACCACAACAATATGATTGGTTTGTGATACATGAAAAATGCCGCAGTCTGATTGGTGCGAGCAACCTACTACTCTTAATAATGAAATGAAAAAAAAATTGATATAAGCTTTTACAGTTATGTTTTGATTGGATGACTTGAGATATTGAGCAGGACTGAAAGCTCGCTGAAAGTGCGTCACGTGGGAAAATTTTTGGGGACCAGTCATTTTCTATCGTGGGGGGGAGGGGGAGATTAGGAGGATTACATGGTTTTTAGGGGGAAAAGTTTTGTTGTGTCTTATCGTTGAGTATTTTTACGAGGAATGCAGTATTTTGACGAGCACGTAAGGCAATTTAAAACACAAAAACTACGCACCAAAACGTTTAATAAGAGATTTATTATCAACGCGCCAAATCGTGTATTCAGTGCGGGTGAATTTCGCGGGTATCTATTTACGGGGAGTGCAAAACGGAACGGAATCAGCGCATTGTCGTTTTCCTGTTTCTGTTTTCTTCAATAGATGATTCAATGTCGTCTAACTGCTCTTCATTCTTTCCTTTATCTAATAAAATTGGATCACTATTCGCCAACCATTCCAACTCTTCATCGTTAGAAGGATAATTTGAATTTTTCATCATTTTTGTTTGTAACCCCAATCCAATTCGTCGCATGCGTAATGCGAGAAAATCTATCTTGAGCGTTATTTGTACTCTAAGAAGCACAGTTGGGTAATAAATGTCTCGTAACTCATCAGAAAACATGTCGAAGCATACGAGACCATGGTAAAATGGATGCAAAAGACACGCATGATTGTAGTAGCTAACATGAGTATTAGAGCGCACGTGCAAAGTAACTCTTGCCTTTTTCACAGTGGTCTCCCGTTTAACCAGGTGGACACACACACTTGTATCCCTTGTCCGTAAATTCAACCAAGCAAGTTGCATTGTTATAGCACATGTTGAAACAACGCTTGTTCTAATGAGGAGAAATATTAAGCCTTAATTTTTTATAAAATAACGGAGATGCTATTCATGCGAGCGATTTATACTTTTCATCCATAAGGGTAGTCTCCCTCGCAGCCGTTTTTTCGGATGTCACGCAACGCTCCCCCCCAAAAAAAACGGCTGCTGACAACCGAACCACATTCCTTTCTCAGAATTGGCCAATCACAGCTCGGGTTCCAATTTCAGGAACCTTTTCGCGCCAGACTCACCTTTTGAGGCTTGTCCAATCAGATATCGTTTTCTATCGCGATCCTCATGTGGAAAACACAAGACAAATGGCGGCGCTTGAAGGAGCTTTTCGCAAAGCGTCGTCAAAGTTCAAAATTTCCGAGCTTAATGCTCACCAGAAGTTTGCAATTACAAAAATTTTAGTCGAGAAAGATGTTTTTGTTAACTTGCCTACAGGATCCGGGAAATCGTTAATATATCAAGCACTCCCACTCGTGTTTGACCATGTTACGGATGAAAGTGGTCATATTGTTATTGTTGTCTCCCCATTGATTAGTCTGATGGAAGATCAAGTGAAGTATTTGAGAAGTCTTGGCCTGTCTGCCGTAAATATCTCTTCAAACTTTGAAGTTGACCGTGCAAAGATAGAGAAAGGAGAATATTCAATTGTATATGGCTCACCTGAAGCATGGCTTATGAACGAGCGATGGCGATGTATGTTGAGTAACGATATCTACTCTAGGAAACCTTGTGCTGTTGCTGTCGATGAAGCTCATGTTTTACGGCACTGGTAGGTCTGACGTTTATTTCGATTTCCATTGTTGACACGTTAAACTTTCCAAGGAGCAGTTTCAGTCATATTTTAAACATAAATGTGAGCAAAAATGCGAAAGAAACTGC